ATATATATATAATATAATATAATAAAATAACTATATATATATATATATATATATATATATATATATATTTATATATATATCTATATATATATATATATTTGTGTGTGTGTGCGTATGGTTCCACGCATGTGTCATAAATTTAAGCCCTATCCTATATCCAAATATAGGCATTCGTGTATATTATACCCATATATAAGTACTCTCAACCTCTGACATGCGACTCCACGGGCTTTTCTCTCTTTGATTTTGATTGTGATTGTGATAGGAATTGTTTCTCCTTTTGATTAGGATTGTGATTGTAATTGGAATTGTTTCTCCCATATAATTAGGTTTGTGATTGTAATTGGCATACTTTCTTCCACTAATTAGGATTGTGGTTTTACTTGGTTTGTTTCACAGGTCGGCTAGATGGCGCCATCTGCGACTATGGCGGTAAAGACAAGATGGACTTCCTTCTCTTGGCCCACGGCGCAGGCGTGCGCAACATTGAAATGGAGGTGAGTGCTAGCACAGTCATAGACACATGGGTGTGTACATATGTGATAGTATGTAGTGGTATATATATATATATATATATAATAGTATATAATAGTATATAGTAGTATATATATATATATATATATATGATAGTATGTAGTGGTGTGTACATATGTGATAGTATGTAGTGGTGTGTATATATATGTGATAGTATGTAGTGGGGTGTATATATGTCATAGTATGTAGTGGTGTATATATATGTGATGGTATGTAGTGGTGTGTTGGCGTGTATGGTGCTAGTACATTAGACCCTGTTCGTGTCACAGGTTGTGGTGTGTATATATATGCGATAGTATGTAGTGGTGTATATATATATTTAGTGGTGTATATATATGTGATGGTATGGAGTGGTGTGTTGGCGTGTCTGTTGTTGTGTGTGGTGCTAGTATAATAGACCCTGTTGGTGTCGCTGGTGTGTGTGTTCCTTTGCGTCTGTTGAGAGATCAGTTAACCCTGTCTCTGTGAGAGATTGTCCTGGTAGGTAAAGCCCTTTCTCTTGTACACGTCTTAACATAGCCTTCTAAATTCAACAGAAGGCTATGTCTAATTGTCCTGGTAGGTAAAGTCATTTCTCTTGTACACGTCTTAACCACAAAGCCTTCTATATTGAGCAGAAGGCTATGTTTTTACAAAGAGTATGTACATCGCAGGGATAGCAAGTACTTGTCGACTGCGATGACTCAGCGATGACTCATGTCAAGCATATACAGGGGTGGTATTGGCGGTTTATAAGACGCATCTGTTCTGTTCTATTCACAGGTATCGCTTGAACGTACAGTTCCATACAATTTGTAAGTAGAACGTACAGTTTATAAGTAGAACGTACAGTTTATAGGTAGAACGTACAGTTTATACAGTTTACAAGTAGAACGTACAGTTTATAAGTAGAACGTAAAGTTTATACAGTTTATAAGTAAGGCCCACATCACTCTGATCTACTGATACTTGGTTGGTAAACCAGTTACGTCAGACCCAACCCTCAAACCTTACAACCCTACAACCCTACTGTGCGCGCATGTACCAGTATTCTTCTGTTCCTAACATCCGATTCATTCGTTTCCCTTTTCCCTTGCGCTCGTTAAACCGTTTTGCAGTCATTGCAGTTCGCTGCGTTCACACACCGATTGCATATCCCCGCGGCCATGGTGGCTGTCGCGCTATTGAACCGTTTGGAAGGAGATCAGGTATAGAGTGTTGTGCTTAGTTACACATGCGTGGGTGCCTATATGGATGTAATACTCTGTGTGTGTGTGTGTGTGTGGTGGTGGCTATTGAACCGTTTGGAGGGTGATCAGGTATAGTGTTGTGCTTAGTTACACATGCGTGGGTGCCTATATGGATGTAGGACTCTGTGTGTGTGTGTGTGTGTGTGTGTGTGTGTGGTGGTGGCTATTGTACCGTTTGGATGGTGATCAGGTATAGAGTGTTGTGCTTAGTTACAAATGCGTGGGTGCCTATATGGATGTAGTATTTTGTGTATATGTGTGTGGTGGCTGTCGCGCACTTGAGTGAGTTGTGATGAGGTGTTAACCCCTCCATAGCCCATTGTGAGATAATCCCTGTTGTACTCTCTACTACGTTGGTTTGTGTTCATGAAGTAGAAAGTAGTTGCTGTGGTGAGGTGTTAACTCCTCCATAGCCCATTGTGAGATAATCCCTGTTGTACCCTCTACTACGTTGGTTAGTGTTCATGAAGTAGTAAGTAGTTGCTGTGGGGAGGTGTTAAATCCTCCATAGCCCATTGTGAGATAATCCCTGTTATACTCTCTACTACGTTTGTAGGTGCCAGCGGATGCCGCCACCTTGCAGGAATACAGTGCCAGGCCACAGAGGCTACTGGCGACCTTCTTGAATAGAACTCTGCCGTTCCAAATATCCGTACCGAACTTTTACTAGGCGCTAGCGAAGATCAGAACTACGAGCAATATAAATTAGTTTTGCAAACGGAGAACCAGAACTACGAGCAATATAAATTAGTTTTGCAAACGGAGAACCAGAACTACGAGCAATATAAATTAGTTTTATGATAAATCTGTGAGTGGAGCGTAGCCTGGGTCGACTTTGACCCTGATTTTATTTGCGACTGAAATCGGTGTATCGTATACTCTCGATGTTTGTACTGATACTTCCTTCTTCAAAAGTTATAAAACTCGGGAGCTTAAATCGGAAGGATGAAAGAAAAAAGCCAGATTTGCCCTGTCCACTTTATGCCCCAAAGCCCTCACTTCGCACAAATTGGGCCAGCATCTACTGACGTAAATATATTGAGGAACTCTGGATCTGGCCCTTTTGCATATTTCACGCAACCCGTTAAACGGCAGACAACATTTCAAACACTAACCACCACGCAATCTGCCTGCACCGACCCGTACCCGCGCAAGCCTATAGACGTCTGTGAGCCCAGATATTGTATGTCAACTCACGCGATAAGAGGCGTACCATTGAAGAGGGTGTCTTGGCGACAAACATGCGGATATAAGCGGAACTCGCTTTAGTCACAGGGCCAAACTCACGGTACATATGAGTTGGCCTTACTCGTGAGATGTGTGGGATATCTCCCGTAGGGCTGGTCGTTAAACGGATTCCCGTGGCATACTCAGCCTCTCAATGTATCTGATCACGCTGTATTCGATTTTTTTTGTGCAACGGTGTAGCTGACTGAATGTTTTATATTCAACTTATCTGATTGTCATCCAAAGATCCAACACTATATAAGAAAATGAACCCAATTCGAAAGAACATATAATGCATCATTCACACAACCTCGATTTAGCACTGTGCGCAAGCAAATAGAAATACAAAACGACATTTATTTATCAATTGATGAGAACCATGTATCATAGGAGTCATCGGGCTAAATCATGAACCCAATTCGAAAGAACATATAATGTATCAGATCATGCAAACCCGATTTAACAATGTGCACATGCAAATACCAATACAAAACGACGATTATTTATCAAATGATGAGAACCATGTATTATAGGAGTCATCGGGCTAAATCAGCAGAAAGGGGGCGGCGGGCGAGAGTGTAGCGTGTATCACGGAGGTACAACAGTTCGGCACTCTAGGTGTACCGAACTGTAGGGTGGGGTGGAGATGTCAGACACACTTGCGTAGTCGGGTGACAGGTCTGTTAATGCAGGGTTATAGTGTCCGTGTGGGATGGTCCACGATATTTGTCTACACTGGGCTGGATCAAGTAGCATGCCAAGTACTGAGGTTAGGGTAGGATGAGCAATGAGCCAGAGGAAGGTTGTTCCCCAATGAACTGGTCAGTCACTACGCTTATGCGATAGGATTGGCTTGAGGGGAACTTGCCTTCTCAGTGTGGCGCCTATCACCGCATACAACACGGGGTGTGCCAGTGTGGTATTATTAACCTCTGCAGAGGCATCACAGGTATCACCCTGAGCTTTATAGGCTCATGCACCCTCTCAGTAGCTTGGACTTCTTAAGAGTGATGAAGTAGCGTATATGAGGGGAGGCAGTGATAGCCGTTCATCGCTCTCTATCCTCTCTTATAACACGGGGGTGTGGTATCATTAACCTCTGCAGAGACATCACAGGTATCTCCCTGAGCATTATAGGCTCATGCACCGTTTCTGTAGCTTGGACTTCTTAAGAATGATGAAGTAGCGTATATGAGGGGAGGCAGTGTTAGCCGTTCATGGCTCTCTATCCTATCTTATAACACCGGGGGGGGGGGGGTATTATTAACTCTGCAGAGACATCACAGGTATTGCCAAGTATCGTATCGGAGGAGAAGTAGTGTGACCATCTCGTCGCTGTCGGGAAGACGTTGCGTCTCTTCTGCAAGAACTCACACATTAGGCACAGACAGCCTATAAATTTTAGGTCACAGGTTCGATTTCCGTATTTCTCCCGTTTTTATTACTATGATGTTCTAAGTAATCGGCGTTACCTAGAGTCCAGGTACACCCTTCTGAACACACTTCTGTCGTGCCATTCATGGACTACAACAATCTGTTTTAAAGTTTTTAGAGTTTCTACTAATACTAACTAAAATATTTTATTACAGATAATCTTGGGTCTTCATGGGCATCATGACTACGCCGTAATATCTGGTAGGTATCTCAAATGCTGTGACATTGAGAGACCTTTTGGCAATGACGGCATGTGTACACAGTGCAGTGACGCTTAGTGTACTGACGTGCCTCTAACTATTCATGAAGACGGTACAGTAGGTATAGTCATTCGTATCCGAATTTGTATCTTTACAGCATCGCTTGCGCAACCACAGTGTATCTATACAAATATATATATATACATATATATACATATATATATATATATATACTACATATATATATATATATACATACATACAAACATATAGTATATATACTATATATATATATATATATATATATATATATATATATATATATATATATATATATATATATATATATATATATATATATATATATATATATATATATATATATATATATGTATATGTACAAATATATATATAACTATAATAATAATAATATATATATATATATTCATGTATGTGTTTGTATATAAATATATATAGGAGGTACAAAAGATGTGCATACCTCCTGGTAATTAGCCCGTAGTCCTTCATGGATCTGAGAGATGAGGTTAATCTTCTTCGTCAGCCTCACATCGACTTCTTGTAAAGCGCTATTCTGGAAGCTCCTGGCAAGCAGCACGTACGCCCTCCCTTGTTCTGCAAAATGTACGAACATGCGGTAATATATGTGTGAACATTCTCTGGAGTATGGCCTGCGTCACAACTCAGCACGGATTGTACTGACAAGTGACTAACAAAGATATGTAGAAAAATATACGATCCAAACTCATCTTCACCAATGATCCTGCTGGTGGCAAATCAAATAATTCCGTTCAGAGACGGACGATGACAGGTCACAGATACCACCCTTGCTACACAGAGAATCATTGTGCATGCACGCGAATCCATACCCAGATCGCACTTAAGCAGACTGCTCAGTGCACTGTGCACGTTCGTCAGACAGGTCAAGATATTCGCATTCATAGAGGCCTTCTCCTCAAACCATCTGTCCGCATTTTCACTCCCGCTTTCCCCTGTTTGCTGGGCCCCCACGGCACCTTCGCCGGTCACTGAGCTCAAGCTGAGGCCTGTAGTAGCAGCTATGGCCGTGCCGATGTTACCCAGAAACCTGGCTAGCTCCACACCCGCTGCCGAGTCTACCACGGCACTACCAGCACTTAACTGGGAACAGAGACGTGCATACGGGGAGTGTGAGAAGTTACACAGATCACCACACGGATAAACGAAATTCTTAGGAAATTGCGGGACAGATAAGGATTTTGATACTCTCAGTCTCTCTGAACTAGTGTTGGGGCCATGCAGTATAATATTTAAGGGTCGTGCGTGGTGTGTTGCCTGTTCGAGAGTACACCAGCAAACTCAGTGGTACTTGTGTTTATGTTGTGCGTACCCTTATATTTACAAAGCTGAAACAGCTATTGTTATGGTACAAGATCAAGGAGATGCAATTCGACTTGTATGCCCTTGTTCGGCAAAACTAGAATCACAATGTCGCCTAGCGGGATTATCCGAAGACGGAAATACAACCAAAACACACGACGGCCATAGTTACATTATAATGTATGAGCTCACCGTCATTCATTTACGGTAAATAATACACACGGATCACTACAGTATAGTGCATAACCAACAGATATTCACTTCATGGACAATATAGATCACCAAAAAGAAGTGATGTACCTTTG